TGTTACAACTATAATATAATAAATATTCTAGAAAGAAAAATTCCTATGGGTTTTAACAAAAATATTTCTATTTTCTTCATCTATCGAAAAGAAAGAAATAACTCAATCGGCGGCAAACAGGTTTTTAGGCCTTTTGTAAATAAGACTACAAACATGACTTTCAATATAAATAAAATTAATAAAATACAACTAGAAAACCGCATTCCAATCGCGAAAAAAATAATTAAAAGCTATGTAGCTAATAAATCATTGGAACATAATTATGTCCTAACAGTTATTTTAATACTAGCTTTTACCCGCGGCTTCGCTCGCGTCACAAAAGGATAAAAAGTAGCCTATGTGACATATACCAATACACACAGAGCCATCTATACCAATACTTTTGTTTTCCTTTGGGAATATCAAAATTTTGCGGTAAAAAAGTACCCTATTATTTAATCCAGACTTCTAACTTTACGTCTGCAAAAACTCAAAGTAATTGGTTTAGTAGTTACGGCGTGATAGCGGAACAAACAAACTCACTTTCCAATTTATAATATTAGTAAGGAGTAAGGATAGTCATCATATATATCAGATGAATAAACAATTATATGATGAATAAAATATTATATAGCTTGCTCAGTTTGTTTGATTGGGTCGAATTTACTAATTGGAATTTTACCCCCTTCCTGATCACAGATTACCTGATATTTGGTGGTATTTAAGTGTGTATACCTATACTTTGGCACGAATGGGCCGGCTCGACCGGAGTGATACCACGGCCTCACAAAAAACCGACGTAAAGCAACGTTCGCGTGGTGTACCACTGAATGAGTGAGGTGACCGGAGAGATAAAGAATATGGAAAAAGATGTCGTTTGTGAAAAATGTATGACAACCTTTGAAAGGAATAACAAATATACCTAATGCTATTTTTAACCCAAATATACATAAGTAGAAAGTAAAGATTTCCGTTCCAAGAACTAATTAAAGTATCTAAGTACATAATAGGACGGATTCGCAAAGACATAATGCTATATAAGGAATAAAATCAATCAGATGTACATTTGATGTTATCTTGTTATTTTGTTTCTGGGAAAATGTTATTATTTTCTTAGTCGTGTTGTGGGTGTCCAGGGGTGGCAATTGCTTCCCACCAGATGATTGCCACCCTACACAATAAAAAGTTTATTTATTTATTATATATATGTATATGACTGCCTCGTTGGCCAAGTGGTCACAAGTGCGACTGCCGGGCACGAGGTCTCAGGTTTGATTCCCAGGTCGGGCTACGGGCAAAAAAAAATCTGTAGTAGCACGGAATCAGGAATTGTGCCCAGTAATATTGTAATGGGCTCACCCCCTATTCCATGGAACTGATAACATAAATAGTAAAAAGTGGGTGTTACATTGTACAGTGGTATTAAGTGACGTGTGCCTACCCCTTCGGGGATTAAAGGCGTGATGTTATATTACAAATGAATCCCTATATCCGTTGGCTACGCCGCGGCCGTGACATCTGAACGGCAGGACCGATCACACTACTTTTTTTTTGTAGTGTTTTCTTACCAAAACTCCTGACAATAAGAACCTTCTTATGACAGAAAAAGAAAACCTGATAGTCCTACGGAAACAGGAGAAAACAGGATTGCGCGTAAAAAGTCCTGAGCAGAGGCAGAGTAGATACTTAAAAACTATTCTTTATGAATCATAAATATCCATTTTGACCAACGCAAAACTAAAGTCATTACCAAATATAATTACGACTTTAGTTCATTAACCTCTAAGTAGACCCTTCATTCATCAAATATCAGTACAATTCTATATAAAAATACATTTTAGTATACGCGGCCCAACAAGCTATACAATCCAGTATAAGCTGACCGTCGAATGCGCAGAAGGAACATCCAAAGCGAGACCACGATATACTGGTTTTGTATAGCTCTATGTGAATACATCGAGAGTACAATCGGTGACAATCGACACATATGGCTCGACCCGGCCATGTGTGAGTGTCAATTACACTGATATGTCCTATCTAGATGTGACAGTTTTGTGTAAGTCTGTATGTGTGTGAATAACTCAGGAATTTGAAATGTGTTCGGTTGATTTTGGTTTTGAGGTTTTTTGTTAATGAATTGTTATTAAATTTGTTTAGAGTTGTGAATTAATAGAAATAATAATAGATTGAATAGTAATAGATTGAAATAAAAAAGCTAATATAATTTCAAACATTCGATATCTAAATGTTTGAAATTCCATTAACAACATGTATATCATAATTTTTCCCTAATCTAAAGGAATAGGGAATTCCATTTTAACTTAAATTATCTTGTCATAGTGCGACTGCAGGGCAAGGAGTCTCGGGTTCGATTTCCGGCGCGGGCAAAATATTATTGGGTTTTATAAAATTTCTCAGTAGTAGCACGGAGT